AGTCACCTGAGCAGATGGGGATTTGGACTAGTCACTCTCTGAAGTCCTTTATAGCACTGATGTTCCAAATCGTTTACTCTGCTCTGGGTCAGTGCATGTTTAACTCATTCTGGAACCACATGTATTCAGTTAAAAAATTCCAAACCCTGTACCTTTCCAGATACATCTCGCTTTCCAAATGATTAATCTTATGTGAAGCTTCAACTTGAATTATTTCCACACTTTTTATCTTCTTCAATTGGAAAGCCAAAAATTGTGTACAGTATAGTAAAACAACAAAACAAAACAGGATTACCTCATGCTCTCTCTGTTATTCTATTGTTTTCCTTCTATTCAGTGACCCTTTTAATCAAATAAGTGTGTACTTTAAACATATCGGTATCTCTCAAACCTTTACCTGAAAAGCCTTTCTTAATACAGGACTCACTGATATTTATTGCGTCAGGAACTATGCTAGGTCCTACAGGGCAGCATTTGTAAACTACTGGTTGCGACCTGTGAAAGTGGGTGACAGCCACCACTGTTTCAAAATAAAATAATAAAATAGAACATAGTTGGACTCACATCCTATAATAAGTTTAAGTATTGTTTTGTGAGACTTTCATTCCAGTTATACATGTGTATGTATTATATACATGACTGAATCGGATATAAATGTAATTCTTTCTTTGGGTTCCAATCAAAAACATTTGAAAATCAGTTTTTTTGGATGAAGTCCTGTATACTTTCCTGATGATGAAAATGATCTGGAAAGCATGTTTTTGAAAAACTCCTTGGCCCCCCCCACTCCCGGTCTCCTGCATCAGCCTCTAGAGGAAAAAGAGGAGAGGCCAAGGTGACCAACACTTAGCAAGAGCCCCAGATGGTTCTGTGGCCCCGCAGGCCTGGGAAGCACCACCAAGATTCGGGATTCAGAAAGTCGGTGGCCTCCACCGGACTTACTTGCCCCGCCCACACACAGCCCGCTCTTACGGAGGAGCTGAGGCGTCTACTCAAATTTAAACAGTAGTTACCTTGAGGTCCTTGACTGTATGTCAAGGGTCACATGTAAGATAGAAATAAAGGGAGAACAACACAGAGCCCTGCCTATTCTGTAATTGTAAATTATTTTTTTATCCTTGAGTTTTTCTTTATTTTTTTCAATAAAAATCACTGATTTAAAAATATCAAAATAGCACCGATACATGTTGTACTTCATAGTCACACCATGTGTCCATGGCTCCCCAGGCCCACGACGTGTCCTGAGACGGGGGGCTTCTGTGCCGACTGAGATGGACAGAGGCGGGCATGCCTGAGTCTGCACCTTCCTTCCCTGTTACACCACAGCTGCCTGTTTTATGGGGTGTGGTCATAATTTGAGCATTGTTCATGGAAATGCATTATTGAAATTATAAACCAGCATATAACCTGGGCTCAGAACTTAAAATTTTCCTTTTGTTAACATCAACACTGTAGCATTAGAAGTGGATATTCTGCTAACGTTGAACACAATTGGCTTTGTTTCCCACCTGGGTAACCCTGGGAAGGCAAGAAAATCCTGCAGAGTACCAAAGCTGTCATGTCAAAGTCGGCTTTGATCGCAAAATCTAAAAACATGACTTACTCAGTGGTGAAGCAGGAAGTGAGCTGTCAGGCTCAGCTCGTCTTGAGTCAAAGGAGGCCAGTGTGGCCATTCGCAAAGCTGTCTGCTGCAGGGCTGTCCGGTGTGCTCACATCTCATGCCCAGAGAAGTGTTCCAGGTAACTGAAAAGAAGGGCTGAGTTTTTATCATTCAGTTTTTTTTCCTATTTTCCAGGATGAGAAGTCTGCAGGGATAACATAATTTCAAAATTTACTTCATTTGAAATAAAGCAACAACATTTTAACTCAAAGCATCTTGTAATTGAAATAAATACCATTGACAGATTGCCTGGAATATAATGGAAGCTTTTACTTTGCATTTTATACTTAATTTGTGTACTTTTGCATTCATTATTTTTATTTGTGTTTTCAAATGAAGATATTTAAAGATCCCTTAAGCAGATGAAAATTGTTTTATTATAAGGTATCACTTCTAACCAGTTAGCACTATTTTCTAAGTGTTTAACACAAAATATGTTTTGAAGCATATTTGCTAATTTACATTATTGGTAGCTGAATTGAGAGAAGACACGTTACAAGTCTGAAGTTTGCCCTTAGAGGTGTCACATAAAGAAGCTGGAAAAGAAGCCTTTTCTCGTTGCCAGTTAAGTCAGTCAGCTGTTGCTAAGCAGGGCATCACCTGGAAAGTCAGAGGCTGAAAGCGGCGACCGTTTGCCTAGTTCGTGGTTCTGTGGGTCACGCTCGGCTCGCTGCACCAGCTCGCTCTGAGGTGCACTCACTTGACGTGGCTGTGCGCAGCTCCCAGGCTGGCTAGGAATGCGCTAGTCTTGGCGGGTCTCTGTTGCCATGGCTTTTCTCGGCCCTGCGGGGTCTCTTCCTCCTGCACAGTCTTACTTACCTGGGGGTTCAGCAGGGCTCCAGAGATGGAGCAGGAGTGAGCAAGCCCCTGGGAGGTTTCCTCAGTGTCCCCTCCACCACATTCTAGCTCAAAGCCCCTTGCAAAGCAGGCCCAAGTCCAAGGGCTGTGCCAACTGACGGAAGGGTTTGCAGTCACATTATAAAGGGACAATGGAAGCACTGCAGCCATTTTTGTAAAAAAAAATTTTCACTATGAAGTCTCATTATTACTGCCCACCTAGTAGGTAGATAATCAATAGAGTCTCTTAGGGAATCAGAATTATATCACTTTCTTCACATTTACCAATGTTATCATCTTTATTTCACTGATGCAACATAGATAATTATTCCGTTTAAAAACAGTCAATACACTCTGCATCTAACTTCTTCCCATAGTAATAGCTGCCACTGGCTGGCTGCAAAGCATCACTCGGAACCAGTCAAGTCCTAAGCACAGGGCACGTCAGATCACCAGCAAAGACAGTCACCAGGAGGAGTCAGGAGACCGACTTGGCTCAACTTGTGATTTTACCACTTACTAACTGGGACCCTGGGAAAGCCGGTCAGCCTTCTTGTGCTCTAGTGTCCTACCTGTGAAACAGGCCAGTGATGATACATGCAGTTCCTAAGGTCGACATGAGGGGAAATCTAATCTGTTTGTGCTGGTGGCAGTCCTGGAGCCTGGTCAGGGCCCTGCAGCTGTCAGCTCTTGCCTTGCTCGTGTAGCCTTGCGGTGGTCAACCTTACGTGTCAGGGCAGGAGGTTCTTTTACTGTCTATTACCCTTTATTATGGTAGTGATAGTGTTGCAGATAAGAGCACTGAAATTCGAGGAGGTGGACCACGTCACAGGGACCCTTACGCAGCCCCAGCAGCTGGTCCGACTTGGAGCCTTTCTTGCTGCAGCGTAACAGCTTCCAGAAAACCGTGGGCAGGTCATCTACAGAGCAGGTTCTTTTCTTCCAGTGTCAGCATTTCAGAGAAGCTTCATTTCCCCACTAACGGCTTCTCAGTTGAGCAGAAGTGAGAGGTGGCTGCACTGAACTTGAAAGAACCTCCGTATGCGCTCCAGTAAACCAGGCAGGAGGAGCACGTGGAGCTGGCTCTGCTGGTGATGTCCACACACCCAGGCTGAGGTGCACACTGTGCAGACATCTGTTTCAGCCTCACAGTCACCCCAGGAGGAATATATATATATATATTTGGTATTATTAATGTACAATTACATGAGCAACATTATGGTTACTAGACTCCCCCCATTATCAAGACCCCACCACGTGCCCCATTAGAGTCACTGTCCATCAGCGTAGTAAGACGCTATAGAATCACTACTTGTCTTCTCTGTGTTGTACAGCCTTCTCCATGCCCCCCCTACATTATGTGTGCTAATCGTAATGCCCCTTTTCCTCCCTTGTCCCTCCCTTCCCACCCATCCTCCCCAGTCCCTTTCCCTTTGGTAAGTGTCAGTCCATTCTTGGGTTCTGTGATTCTGCTGCTGTTTTGCTCCTTCAGTTTTTTCTTTGTTCTTATACTCCACAGATGAGTGAAATTATTTGATACTTGTCTCTCTCCACCTGGCTTATTTCCCTGAGCATAATACCCTCTAGCTCCATCCGTGTTGTTGCAAATGGTAGAATTTGTTTTCTTCTTATGGCTGAATAATATTCCATTGTGTATATGTACCACATCTTTATCCATTCATCTACTGATGGACACTTAGGTTGCTTCCATTTCTTGGCTATTGTAAATAGTGCTGCGATAAACATAGGGGTGCAAATGTCTTTTTCAAACTGGGCTCCTGCATTCTTAGGGTAAATTCCTAGGAGTGGAATTCCTGGGTCAAATGGAATTTCTATTTTTAGTTTTTTGAGGAACCTCCATACTGCTTTCTACAATGGTTGAACTAATTTACATTCCTACCAGCAGTGTAGGAGGGTTCCCCTTTCTCTACATCCTCACCAACATTTATTGTTGTTTGTATTTTTGGATGTTGGCTGTCCTAACTGGTGTGAGGTGATTTCTCATTATGGTTTTAATTTGCATTTCTCTGATAATTAGCGATGTGGAGCATCTTTTCATGTGCCTATTGGCCATCTGAATTTCTTCTTTGGAACAGAGAGCTGTCTGTTCAGCTCTTCTGCCCATTTTTTAATTGGATTATTTGCTTTTGTTTGTTGAAGTGCGTGAGCTCTTTATGTATTTTGGATATCAACCCTTTATTGGACATGTCATTTATGAATATGTTCCCAGGAGGAATATATTATCCCCGTTTTATATAGAGTAAACCCTGGTGGCCAAGGCTGACCTTGTCCAGAATCACAGCAAATGGGTCCGACCTGAAAGCTCTTGCCGCTAGGTTGAACTGGTAGCTTCATTGTAAAGAGACTCTACTGTGAATACTTTGTAAAATGATTCTGTGATAATCGTTACCTCGGTTGCCTGTTTTAGAAAGCAGAGGGGTCTGACTTCTTCAAGGTGGCTTCGGGATTTCACTTTGATGTGGTGCTCTGTTCTCACCTCCAGAGGAGATCTGTACCCTCGTCATCGCTGAGACCTTCCCAGAAGACGCAGGGGTCTTCACGTGCTCAGCAAGGAATGACCACGGATTGGTAACGAGCACGGCCCAGCTGGTGGTCACCGCAGGTATGTGAAGTGAAGCACACTGGCTGTCTGGGCACCTGGTGGCACACCACTGTGGAAAGAGGCCCGAGGGTGCCCGACCTGTAGGAATACTTGCTGCCACTCCAGGAGCCACCCTGACAATTCAGGTTTCGTCATGAAACAAAGGCTGTGGGAGCAGCAATGGGCAAGACAAAGAGGGCCATAGAGCAGGGGAGTGCATGCGGGCTGTTCAGTGTCACGCAGTCTTGGTCTTGGAAATGGAGCTGTTCCCTGACATCCTTATGCTGCCCCAGAATTGTGCTCACATCAGATGGCGCCTCTGCACCAGACTTGCAGGGACCACTCCCAGCGCTGCCAGCACAGGATAGGGAGACTCGTGCACCAATAAGTCACTGTTTGACCCACTATGGAAGCTTCTGGAAAAGTAATACAAGATACACCTAATGTAGTTTCAGAAGAGCTGTAAAGCCCCAGGAAATCAAATCCCATTGAAGATGGAATATCACTCTGATATTAAAACCTAAAGCAATATACTGTTAATACCATTATTCAAAAATACCTAAATGTTTTTTAAACTCAGAAACTTACCACTAGGGGAAACAACATGAAACAGCTTTTTTGTTTATTTTCTTTCAACTTTAGTTGTCTATATTCTGCTATTACTAATAGCTTATTTTTATTGCCTCATCTATTACTTACTTTGTAACAGTTTTCAAAGGTCTCTCTGACCAAGCCTGGCTCCTGGTATGCAGGGTAGGGAATCGGTAAACGGATTGTTGGCTGTGTGAGACGGACGTGAGAACAGCTGACCTACACTGGATGTCTTTAGAGTGAGAACTCAGTGCTAGGTGGCAGCAGAGGCACAAACAGAACTGGCTTCAGGCCGTCAGGATGGGGTTGTAAATGCTTTTTTATCTTACTCAAGGGAAGAAAAGGTAAAGGTCGCCTCCCTGGTGGAGCAGCCCCTGAGCGAAGGAAGCGCAGGCCTGGCTAGCCGGCATAGGCAGGGGCCTTGCATTGCACTGAAAGCTGCCGTGCATACGGCCTAGACCATTGCCACCCCAGTGATGTGGCTGGGGCTCTGGACCCCAGGGTCTGTGCTGCAGAGGCTGGCAGGTGTTCCCACTGCCTTTGAGGGTGAGTCTGCTATAGGCCAAACTTAACAAGGATTTCTGGGCTTTCAGTTGCTTACAATTATCATTTTTAAGTGCATTCTAGGAGTTCTGCTGGGCTTGGGGCAAGGTGAGGCTCCAAAGGCAACACTGGCACCTCTCAGATGCTCTCAGGTGCTGACAGCTTGGAAATGACATGTATCTGTGAGGTCACAGCACATGTCACGTAGACTCAGAGCTTTGTCCTCCATGCCTTTGAGTAGACGGGGTCCCCTCTGCCTACCGCAGAAAAGCTTTATGCCTGGAGCCGTTGCCAGACTCTGTCGGATCTGAGGGCTGGACTGTGAGAGGAAGAACCCGTAATATTGATACTGTTGGTATTGTCCTTCTGTACCAAGTTTTGGCTTTAAATCTTGTTTAAAATTTCTTACTGAGCTGGTAGCTCGTCTCCCCACTGTGGGCCCAACTGGGAAGGGGAACAGGGGAATCACTGAAAATGAGCTTGGGAGAACCAGGCCCTCCAGGTAGCTTTGCTTCCATATCAGATGTGAGCAGCCTGTACCTCTTGCTTCACGACTCATGGGGCACAAGGGATGCTCAGGCTGTCTGTGACAGCTGGGGACAACAGGAGCAATAGCGTCTCATTGCTTCCCTCCCGCCCCTTCCTCAGCCAGCGCTGAAAACTGCAGCTCAGACTCCATGGAAGAACCCCACAGCGGCCGCCTCCGGGAGTTCCCACCGCCCCCTCCGGCCTTGGAGACAAGTTCCTTTGAGTGGGCTTCGAAGAAACCATCGGAGATCCAGCAGGTGAACAGCCCGGAAATCGGACTTAGCACAGCAGCTCTGCAGAGGCATTTCGGTTCTGCTGAGAGGGAAGCGAATGGTGTGCACCCCAGCCGTGGGGTGAATGGACTGGGCAGCAGCAAGGCCAGCAGCACCAAGCCTCTCCCAGCGCCAGCTCTCCTGCCCTCACCCACCAAGGAGCCACCGCCGCTGCTTGCCAAGCCCAAACTGTGAGTATTTCTGTGCGGTTTACACTACTTCCTGTACCTGCCGAGCTGTATCTTGGGCAGGGAAAGCTTTCTGCCTGCACTCAGGAGTGCCCCTTCTGCAGGCAAGTTATCCCTCCCTGGCTGATGACACCTTGCTGCGAAGTAGGGTCTTTCAAAATTATAAAAGATACTTAAAAATAAAGGCAAATGACCAGCATGGTTACATCTGTAATTTAGATTTGCTGAAAGCTGTAATGGGTTTCAGCAGTGAAAACATCTATGTGTGGCATGGCCTTCCATCGTATAGCAGAGGATATGGCCACACCCGGAGGTGATGGAAAGGGGACCTACTTTGAGCTCTTTATTAAAACCATTTCCAAATGTTTCAAATTTAAGAATCCATAAGGAAATCTGGTAGAGGTAAGCACGGGAAGGCTGAAAGCTGAGGCTGAAAACTCAGTGTGCAGAACCCACTGCGGGAAACAAACCAGGAAGTAACCAGGATTGTCAGCAATCTTCCAACACAGCCTCCTCGGTGCTGGAATATTCCATGGAACTGCTTATTTCCATGGCTACCCCTCCATATGATTTCCATATTTTCTTAGGGTGACAAACCTTGTGTGAGCTGTTTCCATTGGCACCATGCAGCTGACAGTTGTTATGAATGGAGCCATTAGAGTGTCAGAGAGAGGCAGAGGTCAGCTGACTCCACAAAGTTTCTTTCAGAGCATAACAGACCTTGAATCACTGCCCTGGGAGAGGCCAGTGGCAGCGTCAGAGTCTGTAAAGTGTGTACATAATCTATAGGTCACGTTTCCATGGGGACGAATTCTCCAGAACCCAGGAGTTACTGTGTGTTCCCCTAGACTGAACAGCCGACTTGTCCGTCAGATATGTAAGAATATGTAAGATATTTGAATTAAAATATCTTATATATTTTTATATCACTCTGTTGTTTACTGAGTGATTTCATGAGCCTCGTTAGACTGAGCAGATCAGCCAAGCGGACGCCTTAAGTTAACAAGCAGGCAGATTATTAAAAAAATAGACTTCTGGACAATCTTGTGTTGCAGTTTCTAAAATCTATCAGTTACTACCCAGCACTTAATCTGTGTTCTGTCCAGGCTCGTTCTTCAGGCAGCAGGTCTTAGGCGTGTAGACAGGAGTGTGGAGGACGCCAGGTGGGCGTGTGGTGCCTGCGCCCCGGCTGCACCGGTGCACAGGTAGATGGGCTCAAAGGCAGCAGCCTCAGGAGATTCACACTCTGCAGTCCAACCGTAAAATCAGCCACCACTGCTGGCTCCCTATGTCTTTGTGTTTTGAATGTGTATTTGTGGTGCTTTTAATGAAGCAAGGGACCTGTTCTCCTGTGGAAGACTTTTCAGGACTGGGACTTGGCTGTGCTCTTGGTGGGCAGTGACGCTGGTCTGCCCTGATGGCTATCACAGACTGAGCGTGAACCACAGGAGCGCCAACACCAGGAGCCGGTCACGGGCATTCACAGCCCTTCTTATCTCAGGAGTTTCAACAGCTCTTGTGCTTTTAGCTCTGCTGTACAGTGATGTGAGCGTGTACGGGGAGGGGTGGGGGGTGTACAAAGGAGCACAAAACAGCTTTGTGCTATGAAAACGGTAAGTGGCTTAAGCAGAAATTTGAAGAGTGAATCATGGTTTGCTTATCAGCCAGCTTTTCAGTATAAAATAATGTACAGGAAAAATGGGCTGTTGTGTATAACATCCATATAAAGGGGTCATGCCCACCTCTTGAGGAAATTTAGGGAAAAGCGGAGCATGTCAGCACAAAACCTGGGAGCTTAGAAATAATGTGCTTATGCCAGGTTTTACCAGTGTTTTTCTTTCAAATCCCTCTTTGTTTAAATATATCCTTAGAGCATCACTTCATGATTTTCATATTGTACTATTACCTGCCATTTACTAGGTACAGAGTAACCGGTGGTGACACTCTTTAAACATGTATTAAATCTTAAATTTTCTTATGAAGTATAACGCCTGACTGGATTTTGTTTTGATTACCAAGTAAACGCATGCTCGGTGGGGCAATGCAGACAGTACAGAGGCTGTCAAGGAGAAGGTGAATGCTGCCTGCTCTCTTCCAGCCCGCGCTCTTGAGGTTCCAGGTGTTACTGGTTTGGTCTGAGGACGTGGGCCTTTCTCTGTTGTCAAGGTCTTTTCCAAAGAGGTTTGTTCATTGTTTTCGAGTTGTAGCCATTGATGGAGGAAGGTTCTGTGAGTCCACTGAATGACATCTGCAAATAGTTTAGAATGGCCTCAAAGTTGGTGATAATGTGTTCAAGCACTTGTAAAATTCTTACACATGTCTATTTTCATTGGTGGTAAAAATGAAATTTTGCTTCTTATGGTTAGCAATGAAAAACTATGGATTGCTCTGATCTCTTTTTACCAGCCTGTGATCTTATTCCCTTTCATAAAAGGAGAGGCTCACATTTTGGGGCTTTATGGCATTTCCTTCATCTGAATAATTTGTAATTAAGCAAATAAGCAATTAGGAGGGAGCAAATAATAGAAATTAAAATATTTACACTGGCAGTAAATTAACCTGAAAATGGTATTTGTCAGAGTCTTAAAAGATTATTTTCAAAAAGAAAATCTCTTTGCATTTTTCTCCCAAATAGCTCCAGTGACGATCATGGGTAGAAGACAAAACCAAAGGCTAAAATGAAAAGACAGCAATGTCACGAATTCTTTTCTTTAACAAGGGCCAAGCCTGATCGGTGGGCCAGCAGAGACTCTCGCCAAGAGCAGGGCGGCCACCCCAGAGCCCACGAGGCGCCCCTCCTGTGCGGGGGGCCGGGCCCCAGGCTCGAGTCAGAGAGGCGCTTACCTTGCCCGCCTCTCCCAGTGGCTTTGTCTCAGGCCCTGTCCCTCAAGTACTAGTTAAATGATTAAATATAGGCCATTCAGTAAGTGCCAGATGCCGTGCACACTGGCTGCGGCCCCACCAGCTGTGGGACCAGATGTGCGTGTAGATCCTCCACAGGAAAACGTCCGTAAATGAGAGCTGCTGCGTGACTCAGTGACACACAGGCCCTTCTGTCAGGGCACCAAGAGGAGACGCAGCATGGTGCTTAAGTCAGATTTCTTATTAGGGAAAAAGAGGGAGGACTAAACGTAACCCCAATTTGAAGTACTAGTTATATTATTCTCCTTGTTTGCAGTGCACCAGTAAGTCTGTCGCCTCCAACTCTCCAACAATGCCTGAAGATACAAAACAAACAGAGGGTTCAGTTTGTTAATCAGAAAGAAAGTCCCTGCTTTTCTTTATTCCTGCAAAAAAGCAGTCTTTCAAAGGCATGAGTATGCATGGGACCCACAGAAATAAACCCTGGAAGGACACTCACGAATGCTAGACGTGGTGGGTGATTTGCAGAGCATGTGGGAAGCACAGCCATGTTCCCCATTGAGCTCATCTCCTAGAAGCCCAGGGTAAATAGCCAGGTGCCATTTTCAAACCCCACTTCTTTCTTTTTTTTTAATATTCTTCCTCTGTCTTATGGAAGGGAGGTAGAAATAACCTAGGAAAGAAGCAAAATGAGAAATCAAGAGGGAGATCGTGGGTGGCGAAGCAAGAGGGTGGTGTCTGCATCCGGAGCAGGACAGGTCGGTAGACAAAGTCACGTGTCACCGTCACACCGGTGCCAGTAGTGTGCACCTTCCCATGGGAGTTGTGCCCTGTGACAGGTGGGTGGGCACGGAGTGGTCCTAAAGTGTTGCATGCTTGATCCACAGCCAGACCTGATATGCATTTGGCTCTTGTTGCTCCTATTCTTACTTACTTTCTCTTCCTTGGCCTCCAGAGGAAATACAGGATCAACATTTCCTATTTGGGAAGGATAAAGTGATTTCAAGCTGAATCCACCAGCCTCTAGAAGTAATTGCACTTTGCTACCTGTTTCTGCCTTTCTTCTTTGTCTCTCTCCCACCCTCAGACACCCCGTGGTTCCTGGATTTCCTGCCTCAAAAGACGGGCATGTCCTATAGACTCATTATACCAAGTTGTTGGGTTTCCTGTGCCGCCTCATCCCGTTGGGGTCTCACAAAGGGAAGCTATGTGGTCGTCATAATAAACAATAGTAAGCGCCATGTGAAAGTGGAGGCCCGGCCTCCCGCCGTACCTGTGTTTGAGAGGCGAGGAGGAGAATGTGCCCGTATCGGCCTTTCCCCGTGGCAGGCGGGCTGTGTCTGGGAGGCTCCCGGGCTCCTCCACACCCCTAGACGCACGCTTCTGCACGGGGCGCCCCCTTCCTGGGTGTCCTGCGCGAGTGGCTGGTTCCCTCCCGCTCTTCACTCAGCGCGCTGTCACCGCCATCCCTGACCGCCAGTCCGCAGCCACCCGGCTGTCCCCCAGCAAGTCATCCTTTAAATCACCGGTGCCACACGAATAATGTCCCTGCGGGTTGCATATTGCCCTCCCCCACTGTCACCACGCGCGCCGTCTGACGGCAGGTGTCCTGTGTTTCTCACTACCCCTTCCCCAGGACCTAGATCAGGGCCTGACAAATAGTAAATGTCACAACCACTTTTGACCGAATGAAGCAAGAGCAGGTAACAAGGAAGGGAACGGTCTCCCACGTTTGGAGCAGCCCCATCTATTCTGCTTGACTCCATCCCTAAAAATACCACAGGACTTCTATTTCCAAACCCCACCAATTCCAGTTTTTCCACTTGACAGTACTTTTCCAACCGACATCATTTATCTTATAAATGGAATGAATCTGAAGAATCAAGTAAGAATCCCATGGAATGGAATTGAGTGAGAAACTGGGGGTCCCTTTCACAGCCCTTCTCATTTCTCCTGTGTTCCCATTTAATGAGCCTCTACCTTTAGAACATTCTGGGGAAAACAAGACGCCGGACATGGAGGAGGACGTGTTCACTCTCTAGGACACACTCGCTTGTCCTGTGGCTGCAGCATGACCCAGTGGCTCTCTCAAGGTGTGTGTGCTTGGGCATCAGGCACCCCCACCAGGACGCCAGGCTTTG